TTGGCGCGATTAACGATAACATCCTAGAAATCGAAGATAAACTTAAGGCACTATTCCTTCCTTTCATTATCATCATCATCATCATCATCATAGGGTCGTCAGTCCTAAGACTGATTGGATACGCTCATTCCTATCCTATCCCGAGGTAATCTTCGTGTTTCCCTAAATATGGAACATCCCATATCCATAACTATTTGTAAATAGTAATCTAATGTAGGTCTTCCTTTCATAATAGTCAGCTAATTTCAGAAAACCAGATCTGCAGAGGAGATAGCCAAGCAAATCATCACTCTAAACCTACGTAGGACAATAGATTTATGTAGAGCATTATTGTGCATATATTGTTTTTCAATTAATTTATGGAAGACTCTCATTACATGCTATTCAAAAGTCCATAAACGTTCTTGCTTTTAATTAAATGACAAACCAATTCCAAAGAGTAGGATCTTTAGAGAAGATAGTCGAGAAAATCATTACTATAGTATATTGTGACTGAAGTAACAAATGGAAGACACTCAAGACTTGATGTTTAAAAAACATTCCCGTAGAAATAAAACTATCTCCTGACTTTTCCACATGTTCGTAAATTCCTTGAAAGTTTCAAAATACCAAAATTTTTCATGTCGACCAAAGTTGCTTCCTTTAATTAGGCGTCAAAACAGTTAGCCAATTTCAGGAATTCAGACCTTTAGAGAAAATAGTCATCTGAATCATCACTACGAACCTACGTAGGACCGTAGATATGCATACGTAGAGCTGTACGTGACCGTTTTTCAACTCATCATCATCATAAGGTCGTCAGTCCTAAGACTGGTTGGACACGCACCTCCACTATTTCCTATCCTGCGCTAATCTTCGCATTTCTCTAAAGCTAGAGCAACTCATATTCTCAACTATCTGCAAGCAGTAATCTAATCTAGGTCTACCTCTATACTTCCTAACTTCCTTTCTGCCTCTAATATGTTTCTGACTAGACCTTCGTGCCTGAGAAGGTGTCCTATTAACCTATCTAGCCTATTTCTTATTGATTTCCATAGAGTCCTCTGTTCTCTTACTCTTTCTAATACCTCTTNTTAGAGAAGATAGTCGAGAAAATCATTACTATAGTATATTGTGACTGAAGTAACAAATGGAAGACACTCAAGACTTGATGTTTAAAAAACATTCCCGTAGAAATAAAACTATCTCCTGACTTTTCCACATGTTCGTAAATTCCTTGAAAATTTCAAAATACCAAAATGTTTCATGTCGACCAAACTTCCTCCCTTTAATTAGACGTCAAAACAGTTAGCTAATTCCAGAAATTGGGATATTTAGAGAAGATAGCCAAGTGAATAATTACTACAAACCTACCTAGAACAACAGATATGGAGAGATGGAGCTGTACGTGACCGTTTTTCAACTAACTTATAGAAAACGTTGAGACTTTTGATGATGATGATATCAAAATATATTCCCGTAGAAATAAAACTATCCTCTGACTTTTCCACACATTCGTAAATTCCATGAAAATTTCCAAATGTCGTGCCTGGTGAAAATCGCAAAAGAGATATAATTTAGCCAATTTCTATTAATAAAATAGCAAGTTGAAGGCAATCACTGCAAAAACCTCTTAATGGGTGTCAAACAACACTCTCTTTCCGATTTTACTTCGATTAGACATGTACTTCGCAGACATTTTACCTACGTGCATTTTTCCACGTTTAAGAAATCGATTTGTTGTCGTCATTTCCTAAAGCACTTTCTGGCTCATAAATTTCCTGATGGAAATCTGTGGGGTATCGAAATAAAAAGTTCACAAAATTTTATGGACTACTGTAATCACAATTATACTCAAAATAATATGTGACGTAAGTATAAATAAGATTTATTTAGACCATTTGGCGTTCTGTTGAAAAGAAAAAATTATTTACAAAAACAAAATGAACATTAGAAAAAAGAATGAATATAGAACGGAGATTATAGAATAGGTATGTGTTTTGACAACGAAGATTAGAACAGAACCTTACCATTAAGCTACTACATCATCTAGTTTATAAATGGGAATGTAGTAAAAACTTGATACCGATCGGTGGAAAGCCCTTTTCCAGAATTCCAGCCAAAAATTTTTTAAAAATCTGAAAACAGTTGATTGTCTAAAAAACCCCACTTATAATTGGGAAATAATACTGACACGTTTGGAAAGCTATCAAATAATATTTAACCTGCTCCCTCACATAGAACCCTAATAGCGAGAAAGGTGATTACTTTACAATCTTAAGAAGGGCCCCCACTCTCATTTCTCGATCTCAAGCGTATTTTTAGAGATATTCAACCCTTTCCAGACTTTTTGCGCAAGATATGTATTTACACTCATCGTGAAAGAAAAATTATGCATTATTCATCTATTTAGTAGAAAAGCTATATACATATTGCTGCAAGGCTTGTACAAATACACATATGAATAATTTATCCGATTTCGTAATAGGTATCTTAAGTACATTCGCTATCACTATCGATTCAATAAACTAATTACCATACAGAGTAAGCAGATTTGTAACGTTATCAGAAGATAAAATTCTGGAATAACCTAACTATTAAAAGATTAAGTCGTCTAAGCACAAAATAGAACTCTTCATTAAATTTACTTTCGATATTTTGGAGTCACCTTCAACAAGAAGATAAAGGTGTGTGTGGACGGCGGGCGCGGCGGAAAACAAAAGGTTAGAAGCGTTCGAAATGTAGTGTTACAGGCGAGTGATAAGGAGACCGTGGATAGAGAAAGTTAGAAGTGACGAGGTATTAGAAAGAGTAAGAGAACAGAGGAATCTACGAAAGTTAATAAAAAATAGGCGAGATAGGTTGGTAGGACTTCTTTCTCAGGCATGAAGGGGTAGTTAGAGACGTATTGGAAGCAGAGGAGTAGAGGTAAACCTAGGATAGATTACTGTTCACAAATAGTTAAGGATGTGGGATGTTCTAGCTTTAGGGAAATGCGAGGATTAGTGCAGGATATGAAGAAGTGGAGGTGTCATACGACTAATGACGTTGTGATGATGTTTATCTTGGATACTGTCAAATAGTTTAGAAATATTGCTATCGTAGGATCATATATGAGATGTGATAGTAGCTGTGACAAAAGGCAGCCAACAGAATTATTAGGTTAACATGAGTTATGATAAAGGGCGGCCAAGGCTTTTTACGCAGGCGCTTATTACAGCCCTGTTAAGAAACGATTTGTATAAATGTTTGGCAAATAGTACGATTTATTTAAACTATCGTATTAATCGCTATCGAAATCATCCTAGCGGTCGACAGAGTGTACATATCTACAAAAAGAATGTACTGCAATTAAAAAGAAATAGAAACGCAGCCTGTAAGGCTTAATAGTGTGAACCAGGCTTTATATCAATGTAAATTTTATTTCTTTTAAGGTTGTGTCGTTTAAGTGCGCTTTAGGTAATATGTAAATTAATAAAATTTGGACAAAATACAAATATTTAATAATAAAGGTCTTTAAATACTATGATGTGTAGAATACTTTTCAAAATGAATTGAATAGGTACTTGAAACAACTGTGGCAACCGTGAATCGAATCTGTATTAAATAATTCATTTCGAATATATAGTGTGTTTTAGAAGGAATTAATCAACGGGCAGATTAATTGGAAGAAACTAGATAGGTATTAAATATTCATAAACCAGACGGTTAGTCGATTGCTAATAGAATAATTGATTAGAGATATCAAAAGGAATTATTGAGTTTTTCGAAAACCAATTTACAGCATGATGTGACTATTATGATTGATGAATAATGTCAGTTGCATTTCTAAACCTTTAATTACTTATAACTTGTGATTACCTTCCTCAAACATCCCTGCACATTTACTCATCTCGACAGTGCTACAACATACTCTTTTGATGTTTTTTCAATTTTCTGAACATACGAGCTCAGTTCAAAAGGTATTGCGATTTTTGTATTTTTCAAAAATTATTTATTTATTCATGAATGTCTATTTTGTTCCCTTCAAAGTAATCTCCACCAGAAATTATAATACTTTTGCCTACATTTTTTCCAATCCTTGAAGCACTTCAGAAAATCTTTCTTTGTGATCTTCGCCTCCTCTTTCGATGTCGTCTTTATGTCCTCAATCGTAGCGTAACGTCGTCCTTTCACGGGCCTCTTCAGTTTCGGGAACAAGAAAAAGTCACAGAGGACCTGATCTGGTTAATACAGTGGCTGCGGCATTGTAAGTGTGTTCTTTTTGGCGAAAAATTGGTGCACAAGCAACGATGTGTGAACAGGGGTGTTATCGTGGTGCAAAAGCTCATTTTTGTTCTTCCACAAATTCGGATGATGTGACGGATTGCTTTCCGCAGATTACGCATAACTGGTAAATAATATTACATATTGAACGTTCTATTCCGTGGCAAAAACTCATGATGCATCACGCCCCTGCAAGAAAACTGTAAGCAATTTTGGCATGAATTTCGCAGCGATCCGTATCATGCCAAAATCATCGGTAAAAATCGAATGGCAGGAGCCAATCCATATGTTTAGGTCTTCAGCAACATCTTCCCTTCATCAATGTTTTCGTCTGTTGTTGACGTGTTCGCACGTCCGGCAAGCTCTCCGTCTTTCTCATCTTCTCGGTCCTTTGAGAACATTTTGTCCCACCAATAAACGTTGCATCGGTCCAAGGTAGCTTCACCATATGCCGCAGTCACATTCGGAATGCGTCCGCCCACTTAATTTTATTTTTTTACACAAAATTTGATACAGATTCTTTGATCCATTTTTTGGAACAGACAAAAATCGAAGACGAGTTCAAAGACGTGCAAGCAAAGAAGCTGTCAAAAATTAACTGAACATTCAACGTGACCAAACTTGTCGGTATAAGTGAGAAACATGAGTACCTTCCAACATACTGTCACAAAAAAATCGAAAATCGAATATACGTAACCCGCGGAAATTGAAAATTCTCGATACTTTGTGAACAGACCTCGTATATCTTTCATTTGAGAGGCACCACTCACAAAAACTTCACGAAAAATATATCTATTGCACAATGACGTGCGTTTCAGTCACGCACGCTNTCGCTGTCATCAACAATTAGTTCTTCTGTTTGTATGTCTATTACTTGCTCATTATCTAACATAACATTTAAATAAATCACGTTAAACTAAATTATTACGCCTATTTCTTTCTTACATAAACTTTAAATATTTACAACCTGAAAACCAACCGAATAAGGTAATTTTTTTAATTTAATTTTGTAAACTGATCCCTGCTTTTAAATAATCATTCTACGCTCCTGATAGGGATACTGCAGAAAGATGGCTGTAATTGTTATACCTAAAATCATAGACATATAATAATGGACCTTGAAAGTATGTCCTTGTAATAATTTCTTGGCTCGAAAAAAGTGAGGGAGATGGCGTATGGTTTCGGACTAGTGCTATCTCTTTCATGACACGCTTACGCACTATCGTGAGAGAAATGGATATTGTCCGAAACTTCGTTCCATCTCTTTCTTTTGTTGTACCACAATTCTGACCGCAAGGGCATGTCCATTAGTAAACGGCGATGCCTAAAACTGCCTACTTTTGCCACTGCGCATCCACGCCATTTTAAAATTTCCGCCAGCTTCGAGCGTCAGGCCTCAACCTAACTAATAAAAGTTCTGTGTTCTGGGATCGGTCATTTCATGTACACTAGACAGTACTCGGATGGGGTACTTTTTATGTAGAAGTAGTTGCATAAAATCTATATAAGATATATATATATCTTGTATTAATTCCGCATGCACTAAACCAGAAGAATGATCTATATATTTGGGATACGTTAAAAGCAATGAAGACAAATACGTATGTGAACCAATATGCAACATTCCATGTAACAATGGTAATTGCACCGCACCAAATACCTGCACTTGTTTAAATGGTTATTCCAAAAATAACATCAATGCCACAGAATGTACACCAGTTTGTACTCAAACCTGTATCAACGGAAAATGCACCAATCCTGAATCACTTGCAATGAGGGATATCAACCTAAATCTTCCAATAAATACCAATGTGATCCAATTTGCTCAAAACCTTGTGCGAACGGTTTCTGCTCAGCGCCAAACACATGCTCCTGCAACGAAGGATATATTCTGGACATTCAAGATAAATTTAATTGTCTTCCAGAATGTCCTGGAGGATGCGAGAATGGAAAGTGCGTGGCTCCTGGGGTTTGTACTTGCTTAGAAGATTACACCCCTCAAAATAACACCAACACAACGAAATGTATCCCAATTTGTACTACAACTTGTACAAATTCGAAATGTACCGCTCCTGAATATTGCATGTGCCATCAAGGATATCAATCGAATCCTCCAAATAAATACAAATGTGACCCAATTTGCTCCAAACCTTGTAGAAACGGAATTTGTACAGCTCCTGAAATTTGCTCATGCAACGTAGGATATTCACTTGATGATGTGGACAAGTTTAATTGCGAACCTGTTTGTCCTCAAGGATGCAAAAATGGAAAATGCATAAAACCGAGCGTTTGCGTTTGCAGTAAAGGCTACGACGATATGTCTAATTCGACCGGAAATTGCCAACCGATTTGTGAAAAAGGATGTCTAAATGGAGTGTGTACAATGCCAAATGTGTGCACATGTATTGAGGGTTATGTGAAAAATAGAATAAATAATTCAATATGTGAAATGGATTGTTCCAAACTTTGTCGAAATGGAAATAAGGATAACAAGGTGCACTGCCCAGAAAATTGTAGAGCAGCTGAAACTAATTTAGAAGTACCGCCTTTACTTACTTCAAGGTAACGCATTTTTGTGAACTTCTGATCTACTCAAAATAGGATTTCAGTTTTGTCTAAAGGTAAAAATATATGTATCAAAATAACAAAAACTAACTAGGTACGTAAAAAGTGAAACTTTCTATGAATCATTTTACATAGAAACCTAGAACTGCGTTATTTACAAATTCCAAAACTGTTGGTACACATTCCGACTACAGAAACCTTCCGTATTATCTTATCATTCTAAAATCTTTATTCCAATGACCAGTTTAACATGTATCTCCACTTCATTCCATTATCTATATGAACCAATCTTCGCATTTCTTAAAAAACTACATGGACCTGCATCTCCAACCAGTTGCGAACAGTGATCTAATCTGCAGCTTTTAACTCCTGTTCCTACTTTGAATACATGTCTAACTAACTCATCTGGCCTATTTTTAATTGAATATCATGTCAGTTGTTCTTCTACTCTTTCCAATATCTCTTCATTTCCAACCTTCTCTATCCACGNTAATTCTCCGCTTTATGGCCCTCCCATATTGACCTATATACAGGTCGAACTGTAGTTAGTATCTATACCTACACATAAATGAAATTTTCAAACACACATAGGGCTAGACTTGAAGTAACAAAAATATAGTCATTGTGCTATATACATACATACATACGTAGTATTTTTATGAAGGCCAGTTAATAGTCCAGCGGCTCTACAATTTATTTTCTTTAAACACCAAAATACAATTTTAAGGCAGACTTACAAGTAGTAGACAGAGACATGCTGCAAACATACAGTTTTAACTATCTTTTTTCGAATTTCTAAATTAATCAATCGCGAATACAAAACTGATTTCCTTCATTTTATATCATTACCCGCTTTTTCCATATCTTGCCTTATATGACTTCCCAGATATCGATGACGATGACCTGGTGTTTTATTGTATGAATAAAGAGGTTGTCCCTGCGATTTGGCCCTATTCCATAGTTAGTTTTTTTGCTACAAGGCGTCAAAGTAGATCATTTTTTTCTTCAATTTTAAACATATACAACTCGATTCTGTCTTATTTGAGTTATTTCAGCATATTGCTAATTTCTGGATTTTCGCGTAGGTCCAAGTGGTCTCTGAATTTTGCCCTGTGTTTGTTTATATGAAGTTGTCTAGCGGTGATATATTCATTTCAAGTTTAAGTTGCGTGTGTCTTATCTACTAAGGGGCTCCTACACGGAGTCGGACCATCTTATTTTAGAGTTGAGCCAGGGATTTTGTTGCCTTGGGGTGCTTCCAAATGAAAGAACCATAAGTGATTGTGGGGCGAATATATACTATGTATATTCATAGCTTAGTTTCGTTTTTGAGCTTCCTGTTTCTGCAGATTAGGGGGGTAGAGGAGCCTAACTGCAGCGGTACTCTTGTTACGGAGATGTGTCTGTTGAAGTTAAGCTTTCTGTCTAGAGTAACTCCGAGGTATTTGATTTCATTCTTAAGCAGAATCTTCGTGTTAGGAGTAAAGGTAAAGGTCTAGATGATGGGTGGGATCGAAAGAGGAGGTCTCCCCACCACTGTACCATAAGTTATGGGGGTTAGATGATGGCTTCCCACCCCCAAGGGGATGGGGGTAGGGGGTTCGAAAGAGGGTGGTCACCTGAGTAAGACCCCATAAAAAATTTGCGGCGGTCTCACCCCTANTTTAGAATTGAATGAGGAACATTCTTCCAAATTTTTATTTGTCTCGTAGCAGTTTGACATACCCCCCAAACATCCTTAAATGTGATTTTTAACGGTTTTAGAGAGATGTGAAGCATTTTTTATTTTTCATCTCTCTCTTAATATTTAACGTCTAATTTGTTTCATTGCCACCGTTTAACAACATCGTCCAATCTTTAGTGGTTGTGTCTCATACAAATAGTTACTTAGGTGCTACTTTTTGTGCAACACAAATTTCTTTAATATTTACATAGTGTAACCCTCGAATCTCCTTAAGAAAATGTTCTCGAATCTATGGCATTTCCGGTTCTACCGGAAGTGCACCATTACTTGGTTATGTCGAATGAAATCACCCATTTCTAATGACCCATTTCTCTTTGCATTTTGAATGACTTACATATCAAACTTAAAGGTAAGTATTAAGGGTAATGTGCACCCTTAAGCTTAATATTTTTCAAACTATTCATAAATTCAAATACATTATTGTAGTTACTTACCTATATGTATAAAAGTACTAGGTTTTACCCGCGGCTTCACCCGCGTTGATGACTTTTTTATTGATTTTCATATAAAACATTAAAATAATATTTAGGTTATTAACATTGTACATATATTTCAATTTAATTCAGAACAATTTACGTATGATAGATATATGTCGAACGAGCACATAAAACTAATTTTTTTTATCCCTCGGGAACATTTTTTTTTTTTTGAAAAGCACCCTATATGCTTTTCTGTACCCATGACAATTTGTGT